TGTGGTTTCTGTGACCTGCTCAGCAGGATCAGGCAGACGCTCAGTGTCTCACTCAAGGACTCAAAACAGGGTCTGAAGCACCAGGTCCGCGACTGCAGGTCGACCCGCTGATGCCCACCTGACCTTGTCACTTGTAGAATTTAGTGTGAAGTGACAAGAGTGAGACCACAGTGACACGGTCGACCTTCAAATTCACAAATCCAATTATCGTCTCTCACGAGGAGACGTGGGAGAGGACACTCCATGATCACGTTTCATTTTTAATCCCATTCAAATAATATAGAGAGATTCAATGAAACTGCAAAAATCTGTGAATGTCTCTTTAGAGCCCGCTGCTCAAATCTGCGCTGTTTGTGGTTTTTATCTTTTTAACAGTACGATAATCGTTTTAAAAGATTCTGTCCGGCACCACAGGAATGGAAAGGTCAGTTTCCTGCTCTGCTTAAAAGCCCATTTTGTGATTAACAGTTTATTCACGGTTTCTCAGAGAGATAGTCTCCACTTTTCTCTCCTGACTGTAAAATCATATCATAGGAGGGGGAAAAACACACTCTAGTGCACCACTGAGAGGAGAAATTTAATCACGAGTATTTCTGGCTTTGGTCAAGGTGAATTACAGAGCATCAGCGCAGCGCTGCCAGCAGAATGTTCTGCTGCTCCAGACAGCGAGTGCACTTTCCTTTGAAAAAGCTTTCTGGTAATTTAACAACACATTAAGGAGGCAAATCCACCTCGGAGTAGAAAAACAACAGGACTGCAATAAAGTACATTTGTCAAAAAGATTAATTTCATATTTATTAAAGCTGTTTCTCTTAGGTCTTCGCTGATTCATTCCTCTGATTTTCCAAGTGTTGGGTTAAATCTAAGTGTCTGAAAAGTTTTTGAAAGTACCAGTGCAATTTATTCCGCAGTTTAGACAGAACTCCAAAAAGGTTTTCACCTTTTATGAAGAATGAATAAGTCAGACTAGACCCTGACCAAAAAAGGTGCACTCAAAGTAACCCTGAAGAGAGCTAAAGGTGAAGTGAAACTCCAGATAACTGGAAGTTACAGTTGGTCTTAACCACATACTTGGCGCCTCCAGGGGGAAAAATAAATTCCTACTGTTAAGCAAATATAACAAAAAGACATTTAGCAGAAATTTAGCACCAAAATACTATAGGCTAAACGGTTGCTAAAACCATGGCTAAAGTTAGCTTAGAATAACTACAGAAAAGCTTTGAAAGCGGTTGAAATGGACCATAATTATCATCAAACTGTCTAAAGAATTACTTACAGCAAGACCAGCATGTCAGTCAAATGTAATCAACATGGCTGAAAAACATTAGCCATAACAGAACGCAGCATGTGGCAAAAATAGCTACGGTTTAAATTTATGTCATGACAAGTTTAGGAACAATAAATAAATTCAATTACACTTCCACTAAAAGTGAGACAATCCTTTGTAAAAACATATCTGGATATAATCCAAAATGGTACGCCATTTTGAATTATTTCTTACGTATTACCTAAGAGCCAGAGTTTTCACATGCTTGATACAAATGTGTTAAATGTTAAAACTAACCAATAAGGCATTAGGTGCTGGTCTGGAGACTTGGATCTCCATCAGTTCTAAAGAACCCCAGCTCCCACAGACAGGGATGATCGTGGTCCACAGACAGACCACTGAGCCCCTCCTGACCAACTGCATGACGGTGTGGTCTGCCAGCTGCACAGCCGCCGGGTGCTGTGATCTGTAACGGATGGTGAGGGCAGCCCAGCAGATTATTGTAATGGAGCTCCAAAACCTTGACATCATTTATAGCGGCCCACTGAGGGAGAAAGCTATCTGCAGAAAGCCGGTCTGACCGCAGACTGTGTTCCCACCTGGTCACTCCTTATTTGAACCGCTGCCGTCAGGAAAATGCAGAACAATCAGCACCAGCGCCAACAGCCTGAGTTTTATTCAATCGAAGGTTCGTCTGTCACACTGTTCACTGACCAAAACTGCCGTGTCCAAAAGATCTACGTTCAGGCTCAGTGCGACTCTGAGGGGAATGCTATTGAATACATGCTAACGGCTATGAATATAAACTGGACGATGTTACAGGCTACATATGTCAGAGTGGTCGTTTTGAATTAACTAGTCATCGTTCACTCCATGTTGGTATTATTTTATATGTTCGTTTTTTTATTATTTGTTTATTTTCTAAATCATCTCATCTTAACTAAACTAATCTAAACTAAAGTAATATCAACTCAACTTATCTCATCTCAGCTGAGATCAACTCATAGGAGATTCCTGGGTTCGATTCCCAGAGGAACCACATACTTGGCGCCTCCAGGGGGCAGCCTGTTGCAGCACATCTGCTGTTAACAGGAATTTCCCCAGTGTGGGATCAATAAAGATCATAACATTAAAAAATAAATAGATGCAAGATGCAAAGCTTTGTATTAGTTTTTTGGGTGCGTGTGTCTTTTTCATTATTGCCAAAGCCTGAATCTTCTATTTTCAACTTCACAAAGTGAAGTCCTTGACTTTGGACTTGTACAGAAATCTAGAATTTATAGAGCATGTAAACCATTTTTTATCAGATAAAAGTACAAAACTAAAACCACTTTCTATTAAATAAAAATAAAGTAGTAAGTACCATACACAGTGTGAGAATCAATGGTTGTTCCTCTCTCTCTTTGTGGCCCCGTGATGAACTTTTGAACTGACTACAGCGTTGAAGCTTCGATGGTAAAAATCCTTCTCATATCTGTTCAATTTACAACTTCAGCTGTTCAACATTCACATCAGACCAATCACAACAGATCACTTCTCTGAGGCATGTATAGTGCAACGCAATATACAATGCAAATGCATATTTTGTCATCACAACACTACCGTGCTTACATTCATCCTGTTTAAGTGCACCATAATAAGAAACGGGAGCCAAAGTCGACTCTACATCTACAGCGAGTAGTACTGACAGAGAACAAAAGTGCCAAACAAACGCACTGAGATGTTAAACTATCAGGTGGATGAGGTGCCAAGGTGTTGATGATACTACATCATAATACTACATCACTGCTGTCCCCTGTCTGACACACTGAGCTATCTGCAGCATGTCTTATTCTGTGTTTTGTAGCCCTGAGTTTGTTTTACTGACTCCTCAGAAAACTATATTTCCCCGTTGCCTTGTTGGGTGTGTAAAGGTTTTTTCCTACCAGCCCTGAGTTTACTTTGGCTGTCCATCATTTGACTTGAGGCAGGCGCTGCACAGCTGGGAAAAGAGAGTTGGCTAAGATGGAAACAATTGCCTGCAGTCTTATGTAACAGCATCATAAGGCAGCAAAACAAAAAGCATTAAAAGCTGGTTTGACATTGTTTTGGCTGAAGGTATCAATAATTTCACAGATATCTTCATTATCGTGAGTTAAGATATCTAAGGTGGTGGTGGGCCAGGTTCCAGGTCAGTCAAAGCTCTAATAGGTTTCACCAAAACACAGATCAAAAAAGTACAGATTTAGAAAGAAAGAGCGAATAAACTATTAACCATTTGACAAACTGCCACCTGTACATATTCATACTGTGAAAAGGTCACCATTGGAACAAATTCCTACACAGAAAAATGACTAAACAAACAAACGTAGTCTATATATGGCAAATCAAGAACGATATACAGTATATTTGTGTAAATATATATATGTATATTTGTGCATATATAGATATAAATATATATGGTTGATATACTTCATATGATTGCTAGCTTATAAACAATATAGGTATATATTTATATTTACATATATTTTTTATAAATATATATGTATATATGTGCATATATATATATCCATAAATATAGCTGATATACTTCTTATGATTGATATCTTATAAACAATGTAGGTATATATTTATATACTTGTATATTTGTGTAAATATACTGTATATAAATATATCTGTGCATGTAGATACAAATATATATGGCTGATATACTTCTTATATATAGTATATAATGTAGTAAATGTTATTCTTTCCATCTCCGACCATATCAACTATAAACCTATATATACAGACACAAATATATATCTATCTATGTATTATATATATAATATATATATATGTGTGTGTTATTCATTCTATCTCCATTCATATCAACTATAAATGCATATATATTTATATATTTATATAAAATGACAAAATATTACTGTAAAGTACAGTGGATGAAGTTGAAGCGGTGCCAGTTGAGGGAGTTTTGAGTCAGAACGCTGCTCCTCCTCCTCCTCTTCCTCCTCCCTTTATGCCATTTTACAGTCTGTGAACAGCCAGTTAATAGAGTAAACATCTCCTGTCAGTGTGTACCTACAGCAGGTACTGTAGTTGTTCTCCACACACACTCCATATGGCTTCTAATTAAAGCCTGGCACTGATCGGTTCTCTGCGTCCAAAGCAGAGTTAGTCATGGCTAACAGTGACTCAAAGTTGCATCGGCCACGAAAACTGCAAACGAACCGAACGTTACTAGAAGCACAATTAAACAGAACGTCAGAGCCAAAACACAGAGTGTCGTCAGACGGTTTCCACCTCAACCAATGAACAGCGGTTCATTTTTGGAATGTCTCTGCCCACAAAGGACATCAGACAGCAGTTTAATTTGAAGACAGTAAGCTTTGTTTTGTTCCCACCTCCACCATCACAGCTGTCTATCTGCTGCTGGACTGCGTTTGAGAGTGAACCCACGTGAGGGTGTGGACCACCACCACGTTGACCATATGGGCAGCGTATGTACAGCAGCACAGCGTATTAATAAGAGTCAACAACCTGCCAGGGATTTTCTTTTAATCCCATAATCAACACACGGGCACATTAATTCTCATATACCCATTCAAGCTCACACACACA